TGTCTAATATAAGCATTCAGTATTTTGTATTCTGTATATAAAGTGGCATTGTAGCAGAGCAGAGATTGGATTTCTTCACTGAATCCAAACAAGAATGACTATGTAGTAGCTTTAGCTGCAAATGTAATTGTCTCAGAGCCCAAGAACATGTTACCAGCCTTTACAAAATATAATGCTTAAAAAAAACTACCTAACCCTGCCATCACACATTTGGTTTCTCTACCCCACACACACACACACACACACACACACCAGACTGAGTGCAGACTCCTCTGGGAACACACAGACATAAATCAAGGCTGGAGATTAGAGAAATGTGCCTCCCACACATTCATTATCAGCACAAGAGTTCTTCCCCAATGACATAACATGGACGAGCCTGTGGAGGGGTTGTACGGGTCTCTTAAAGCAAATCTTTATGGACAAATCATCTCAAAGCACGTGTGGAACTTACATTTATAAATTTTTGTCAAATGGGTCATATTGAATCACAATTTCGAACATATTATACACTTGCAGCTATTTATTATTTAATCTGCAATGTTTTAATGTCATTTGATTCTCTATGAGCTGCCTCTCCAGTTCCATCCTCAGATACTGACTCAGCAACTGGAGGGTCTCCAGTTGCTGTGAATGTGATCTGAAAGGCCAGCCAATCCTCCTTTTCCTACTTCAACGCTGACCTGCTGGTTGCCATGTCAGGGTATGTGTTACACACTGCAGCATAAAACACAAACAAGATACAAATCTAAACTGTCGACATATTATTGAATGATTGATGCGTAAAAGTAACAGTAATCAACAAGCTGCAGTTATAAACCCTGCTAACACAAGGAGTGTCATTAGAAATGTTATGATATAATAGATATCACCACCAACTGCACAGTAATGTCATCTTGAGAAACCTAATGGGTCTTTTCCCTGTTGTGGAAATCAATTCAGAAAGCAATTCAACATGCACTTCAGATAGTGAAATGTTATTTGATGTTATAAATGTCCTACATGATAACACGAGTGAACAGGCAGCAGTTGAAAACAATGAGTTACTCTGGTGTATCCATATGCACGGATACACACACACACACACACACACACACACACACACACACACACACACACACACACACACACACACCACACCACACCACACGACACAACACGACACGACAGGACAGAGTCTTTGGCAGCTCCAGTAAGACATCAGAAGAAGCAGCAGCTGGCACCGTGTATAGAGAAAGAAAGGGAGAAAGATGACAGAGGATATACGGAGTCTGTCAGAAGCAATGTCAGGTCACTGCTCTCCTCATCTGCTCTCTGGCGAGCTCTATTCATCTTGGCAGATAGCAATTTATATGTCAAGTTAACCTCCCTCCATAGACTTTTCTCCGATGTCCTGACTGGGGCAGTACAACTCTACTGACAATTCTGTAGTGCAATAACACAATTACAGGGCACGGGACGGAGCTAGGCTCTGACAGCTGTAGTACATTAACCTCCTTTCACCACAATCACTGACTTCATGCTCGTACAGCAGCTAGGCAATGCCAAGACAGACACTGGAGAAAACAAAACCTCTTCAACAGAAACTGTCCAATTCAGATCCTGTTCTGTGAGAAAAACTCACATGAAATCTAAATATTTAATTTGTCAGATGTTGTGGCTGAATTCCCAAGTGTTACTTACAACCTCAATTAGTAGAAAATGACATAGATATAGTTTGGGATGAGTTTTTTCTACTGTATAATATACAAGTAGTGAAAAAGTACTGTAAGAAGAAATACTGTAAGTACTGTACTTATAATTTTGAAGTACTTCACTTGGGGATATCCATTTAATTGTATCTATACTTCTACGCCACTACAATTTAAAAGAAAACAGCTATAATTAATACCTTTCATTTAGATTTTACATAAAAAACACACGATAAGCTAAAAAACAGTGTCTGGTTGGGGCGTCTAAACTTCTCAGATGGTTTCACTTAATTGTTACACTGTTTTGATCGAGACCTAAACAGGTAGAATTATCCAATATTTCATGAAAAAAACATTGAATAAACTGAAAAAAATTTGTTTCGCAGAGCTTGGTTTTTTTTTCTCTTGTGAACGACAGGAGGGGTTGGAAGGTTGGTAAACCACTGGATTAATAATAATTAAAACTGTATCAAGTGGATAAGCTATAAATCACAACCATCTACGATAGTAGAATACTATCTACACATTGTTGCATTAGTCTAATAATGTAATCCAGTAATGTAATGTAATGTAATGTCTAACTATCTATCTATCTATCTATCTATCTATCTATCTATCTATCTATCTATCTATCTATCTATCTACTTCTTCTACCACTTAACTGCCCAATCAAGACAGCTGCTTCATTGAAAGCTAATAGAAAAGCTTCATTGATACTAGTAACACAGCAGAGTATTTTCACACCTGCAAAATGATAGTGAATAAATCATCTAGATGACATAATGAAAACTTGTTTTTATGCTCTCTAACTTTTAGAGTAACCTTTGTTACCTAGAGTTAAATAAATCCCAGCGGAGGAAATGAAGGGACTATAATTCACCAACCACAGTCTGTCACAGTGGAGGTTATGGGAAGTTCAGTAGCAGTTTCCCCTTCTCCTGCTTTGATTCTCTCAATTTATTAAACTGTGGGAGATCATATCAGCTGCCTTTAGCTGCAGGTGAGCATGAGCAGGCAGGCAGGCATGGCAGTTGGATGGAGAAACAGATGGCTGGTCAGGGGCCCAGAAGCACCAGGCAATAGAGGAAGACTAACAACATGTTCATACAGTAACTGTGTTGGCTCGCACTGCCTGACCGCAGGAAGAGAATCAAATAGCCTCATCATTTCATATTCCCCCAACTCCAGTTCATCTCACAGATGCAATCAAACTAACTAATCAAACAAACTCTTAAACTTTAGTGAAGCAATTCAGGGAGAACTCAGTGGAGGATAGGCCTATATATATTAGATTTAATCTGCTGTATGCATAATACATGTTAATGCTCACTACTGTTTGATGAGAGAGAATGTTTCAGTGTGTGTACTGCATAGAAATTTTATGCAAAGTTCAAAATGACCATTTACACTACACGACCAAAAGTATGTGGATGCCATAACATAACACCCATGCTGTACATCTCATTCCAAAACCGTGGGCATTAAAGGGGCACTCCACCAATTTCACACATATTTTACACACATTGAGGATGTCATCAGGGTTACATTGACCTGGGGTTGGAGCCTGTGTGACATCCTGGGGGGTTGAAGTTTGAAAGACGTGGCATGATAAAGCAGCACTAAGAGAACTCAGACTGTCGTAGCTGATGGTACTCAGTCAAGATACCATACAGACATAGATCGCCACAGGGTCTACCACTGGTCTGTTGCTGTATAACATAATTGTTCCTAATCAAAACATCGATGTCCATTTCTTTGCTGTCGATATAATTGTAAATGCCCCAGTCTCCACTCCGCGAACCAGGCCATGACTGTTATAGTTCGACAGGTTCCACCTCCCTTTATCTTTGTTTTCCCCTCCCTGGCATGTCTTGTTTGTTCCCACTTTGTCTCTTGAGTGAGTGAGTGTATGTGTGTGTGTGTGTGTGTGTGCGTGCTGGTCTCTGGTCCCACCATCTCACCTGCACACCTGCTCACCATCATCCAATCAACTCCACAAGCGTCTGCTGTATTTAAAGCCTATAAAAATACTTTTAATACCATTTTTGTCTTGTCTGTTTTCTGCCTAGTGGGTTGAGAAACTAGAACTAAACATAACACTGACTTGTCCTCAGTCTGCCTTTGATGCCCTCCAACTGTCACTCCTTAATTATAAAGTAATTTTAAATGCAGAACAGACTAAGTACATGGCATTCTCTGCCTCCACTCACTGACCATCCGGCCATTAAAACTTTAAATGAAGCACATATTAGTCTTACTGATAGTGAGTCATACATCTACTCAGGAAGGAGAACCTTAAGGTGACCGGATGTCATACATTTTCTATTTGAGCCAGAGTCTCTTGCCGGCGAGCTGCACCATGCCCGTTAGCGGGTAGTGTGGGTGTCAGAATGCTGATAAACATTATATTACTACAGTGTTACCTTTTGTTGATTTGCAGCGCAGCCATCTTGGATTTTGAGATTGGGGTTGGTGAGGTTCCTCCGACTTCAAGGGCGTTCCGGTTAAAACTTTCAACTGGGAAGTCAGAAATTCTCAACTGGGAACTGGGATGACGGATCTGGGAATTACATCAAAAATGAGTTGACCACATTCCAATACAACAAGTCGGAAGCTTGTTATTTTTGTTGCTTGCTTGTCATTGTTATTATTAGCAATAGTAGTTGATAACAAAACATTATATATTAAGTGATTTGCACATACAAACACTGTAACATGTCCGCAGATAGAAGTTGGACAGTAGTGTGTACAACTGATAAATGAGACACAAATAAGACAGAAATGCTGATAAATAATATATTATTCAGTTTTCACTTCTGTTGATGTGCAGAGTAGCCATCTTGGATTTTGGGGTTGGTGAGGTTCCTCCTACTTTCTCAGTCAACTGAGAAGTTGGAAATTCTGACTATTGCACAATAATTCATTTGTTGGCTAGTTAGCCAGTTAACGAACTAAATAGCCAGGTATGGTGAGCACAGACACAGATACCAGCTAATTAGTGCTAACACATAAATAAACACTAGAATTCCACTCACCGCAAAAAACAGTCAGTCTGTCAGTAAAATCCTCCAAAAGGCACCAACACCACAAACACAGCCGAGAGGTCACGAGCAGTGACTCGAATTAGCTGAGATGATGCTGAGCAGACAGTTAGTGGACAGTGAATTAAAACAGGTGAGTGATATAAAAATTCACCAAGATAAGTGTAATTTGAAAATGCTCCAGTAGGTGGAGGTGTTGCAGCACTTCACATCTGATACGCCGTGAAAAATTCAACAGAAGAAATTAGTGACGTCGGCTGCTGTCGTAAACAACGTCAAGATGTCTGAATGAGCAGTTTATGGCTTAGCCCGAAAGCTAACAACTTGATTTTCTTTTTAGTTTACTTTTACTTTGGTTTCGTTTGGCGACTTGGACATTGTATTAGATGGGGACCAAGAGCTTACCATGAAACTCCGGGTGCAGAATGACAGGTGAGCTGTAGCTTTTACAGCCGTTAGTGTGACCTGATAGAAAACATCTGTTAGCTGCTAAAGCTAACGGCAGACCGAATCTGTATAAGAAACGCTTCGCTGTCTGTTATCTGTCTATGTCACTACTTTTGTGTTTATCAGCTGAAAATTACTGACGGTTGGTGCAGCTAACGTCAATTGGCCTTAATATCTTCGCTAAGGCTCACACGATCAGGATGAGTCGAGGTAACGTTAGCATTGTTAACACTTTCATTTTTACCTGCTAATCTAATCAGTTTAAGTTAGCATACAAAACTCCAGCTAACCCAACAATGATCTCTGTCGAAACTGGCACAAAATACTGTCGTCTAATTTGTCAGCGAGTTAATATTTTAATGCATTCAATTTTATAAAAACATCCCAGAGTGAACCAATTGTCACTTAACCTAGACACTTAAACTTCAATTGGTCAAATAGTGGCTTCAGTGACTAGCTTTTTTTGCTGGGAGACCAAATATAACAGCAAAATAAATGTAATAAAACATAGAGCTAGATAGTATGTATATCTTCACATGTGCAGTCTGTACCAGTGCAGTCTCTAGTACAAAAAATGAAACGGCTTGTGAATATTGCTCTAATCACAATTTACATTGGACACATTTTGCCTGAGGCTAAAAAGATTTGTCTTTTATGTCAAAGGAGTGATTCCAGAAGAACACTGAAACTGAGGGAGTCTCCTACTGTGATGCAGCCTAATTCAAGTGAGCGGGACGCTCATGCAGGCAATGGTTTATCCCTAACTCTGCAACCAGAGCTTCTCACCAGGACACCAGCCCCTGGTGCAGCTGCTGCCAGCCTTGAGAGTAATGAAGTACGGATACCCATGACAAGTGGGTCTGGGGAGTCTAGTGGAGGCACGTCATCCAGGAGATCCAGAGTCAGCTCCCACAGCCACTCCCATTCACATTCACATGGACATAATCGGGCACAGCATCACTCCAATTCAGAGCCTGAGCTTGACCCTCCTGACTCTGATCTGGACTCAGGAGAACCCAGCACCTCCTTGTCTGAGCTTCGCTGTCTCTTCCGCTGGCTCCAAAAGAGTCTTCCTTTCCTTGTCATACTGTGTGCTAAACTGGTCATCCAACATGCTCTTGGTGAGTATAAGTTGTACAAAGAGCATTCGTAGAAACGGTGAACACAAGACATTGTCTTGATGTAATCTTTCTCTTCATTCACCAGGTCTAGCAGTTGGGGTTGGCCTCTTCACAACTTTTTTATATGTGAATAAAAGCATTCAAACCCAAGTCTTTCTTCAGGTGAGTCGAGAAAAGGAAAGTCAGTTGTTCATGATGTTTATAATCTTTGCCGTTAGATTCCTAAACCATGCTTTTGTCTGTGTGCGCCCTCAGGATCATCACTCAAAGCTGCAGTGTGTATGGCTGCTGCTCTTCCTGATCTCTTCCACCCTTCTGCTCTACTACACTTTTCTCACTGAGACACTTTATCATTGGTAAGGCTACATTTATTATCTACAGAAATCTATACTCTGGCACATTGACCACTGTATGTATATGCTGCCCACGAGTACTGCAGTTTATTTAACGGCTAAACCTGGGAATCAGTGAAATGTGCAACTTAACCTGAATTTCATCCTCCTCCCAGCCTATTCTTCCTCAGCCCAACCATTGAGCCGCTGGGTTTCTGGGAGGTTCTGTGGGCAGTTGGCATCACAAACTTCATAATAAAGTTCCTCTTTATGGGGATTAAGTGCCTTATTCTGCTGCTGCCATCTTCACTGGTGACCTACAGAGCCCAGGTAAGACTGGTGGATTTCTTCTTGGCATTAACAAAAGAAAATATCCCTGTAATTCTGTGTCTTGGCGTTGTTGGCTCAGTAGTTCTCTTCTGTGTTTTGATGTCTCAAGGGGAGATGGCTGATGCTGACTGAGGAGCTGGGTCAAGTGCACCAGGCCATGGCTCCAGTTTCACTGTGGTTCCGCTACCTGGTCATCTACCAGGAGGCTGACGGCACGCCTGGACTCACGCTAGGGGTCCTGCTGGCTTTGCTCTACCTCATACTGAAGGTGTGATCCCTGTAACTTAACAGCCATAGATCTTTTGTTGTGTTATTGTTGAAAAGTTGTTCCTTTACTTTTTTGTTCCTTCTCTCACTCTTCCAGCTTTTAGGATTGTATGGACAGTGGACATCTTTACTGAAAACTGTGAGGATATTTCTGAAGGGCGAGGTCAGTGTTAAACAACTTCTTTGTTAAACAGTCAATTTTCAGATTTAGTAACCAGCTGTGTTTACAGTTTTTTTTTTTTTTTTTTTTTTTGGTTCCTCAGCATACAGGCACAGCAGCCACTAGGAGTCAGTGCAGCGAGGCCGGAGACGTCTGCCCTATCTGTCAGGGAGAGTACAGGGAGCCTCGGGCTCTACTCTGTCAGGTAAAACCACATTAATGGGCCAGTCATACCATAACATTTTTCAGCCTTTGTTATCATTGTACTTGGTCGTACTTTTCTCTAATGTGCAATGTGGGCATCAAGACTAGGGGTGGGAATTGATAAGATTTTATTGATACCAATGCCATTACTAATTCTGCTTATCGATCCGATTCTTTATCGATTCCCTTATCGATTCCTGTGGATTTTCTGTGTGGAAAAAAGTAGGCCTATACAGTGTCAACAACGCAAATTTTATCCAAACACTCAACAAGACAGATAACTGCTCTGTAGTTGTTCAATCCCTTGTGGAGGGGGTGCTGTCCAACTCTTTAGGTCTGTCTTGTATTAATTTACAAAAGAGAAGAAAAAAAATTGTTCACTTAGAAGAGCCAGCTCATTCGCCACCGACACATCACTAATACGTCCCTTCACTGCTCTGCTGAGACTGGGAAGCACTTGTTGACCGGCTGCATAGAGCGTCAAACACATGGCACTCTTGATATTTAATGCCGTGCTGCGTCTACAAATGTTTCATGTTTGTTTTGAAATTAAGCCACACTTCCTCCAATCCTTCATTGTTGTTCGCGCTGACTGCCTCTCGCGAAAGCGTGACGTCATTGTTTTGCAAGGCACGCGGAACAAAGTGGAAAGCATCGATAAGGGAATCGTTAAGCATAAAGGCAAATGATGTCGATGGATCGATCCAGTTTGAACCGGTTCTCAACTGGAACCAGTTCTCGATTCCCATCTCAAATCAAGACGCAGATAAAAATCCTTCGGGCTATCCATCTGTCAGACATGTCTCTTTACCATGCCACAGTTTGCAGCACCTGATGACATCATTATCATTAGATATTGAGCAGGAGCAGTATTACTTAATTTCCTTAAGTAAGTCTGTAATATAAAAAATAGGTCACAAAAGTACAAAAACCAGGCAACACAATCTGTACTTGTAAATAATCTCAATTATCTCTTTATTCAAACTACTCTTTTATTTGCTACTCATAAGCCCCTTTTCCACTGTTCAAAAAACCTGCTAAGACATCAGGAACAATCAGCATTCACACCTGGGTGAAATGACTCTGCAGTAGACCTGGGTAGTTATTGGCTCCGGCTTCGGTCGGCATTGATGTAAACACAACACCAGGTGATCTCGCTAATTTTCACCCCTTTTCCTGCTGTAACATCTTTCAGAGCACAAACACTAAACACACCTGTCACCTCCCCAGCATGGTGCTGTTAAACCAGAAACACTGCGGCTGCACTGCGCTCAGGGATGAAAGAGTGAGCTGCATTGCAGCCCTGAAATAAGTTTTAAAAACACACATCACCAACCTAGAGATGAGACATGACGGATCCGTTTTACCAGTTTGCACAGTGGCTAGCAGCTCACTGTTTTTCTCCCGTGCGTGTGCTCTTTTAAATGCATGTTTTCCTTTAGAAATTACAATTGGCTCATCTGATCCCTCATGTTTTCTTGAATCAGATGAATTGTTCTTTTTGCTGTGTCCATGTACAGTAAGTGCAAGACATCCTGACAGCTGTTGCTTCTCTGTTGTGCAGCACATATTCTGTGACGAATGCATCGCACTGTGGTTTAACCGGGAGAAGAGCTGCCCCCTCTGCCGCACTGTGATCACAGAAAAAGTCTATAAATGGAGGGATGGAGCCACATCTCCACACCTGCAGATTTATTGATCGATAAGGTACAGGTCGGGAGCTTTTGAGTGTGGGACATTGGTATTAGCTTGTATTTAAATATGTGATTTTCTATGGCTGTCAAACCCCACTGACAAGTAATGTTGTACACACTGTTTGATTCATCAGGCAAGGGCTGTGCCCGTTTTGGGCCGAGGTCAGTAAGGTCGCACAAATTGCACCTACAGCAGGCATGTTTCCATCTTATTTACCAGTACATCCCTGCTTGTCATTGACAGACAACTGAAAATTGATTATTTTCATGCCCTCAAGTGTTTTTTGATTTTTTTTAATTATTTTTAGTTGTTTCCTTTTGTGTTGCTTTTATTTACCTTTAATCTTAATATAAACTTTCCTCATGGGGCAACAAATTGTTCTACTTCCACTGTTTCTTCTACTTGTAAATATGGGGACAACAGAGAATTATATTAAAAAAAAAAAAGTATTTTAAACAGATTTTTCCTGTCATACGTTTGAACAAACATGCAACACATGAACCTTCTTATCCAGTGTTTTCTAAATTTGTTGACACGACTTTTCTGATTTGTAACAATGAATGTGTTGAGGTCAACAGCTGCACACCTCTGCTCAGGAGTGCTTTTAGGATGACAAGTACAGAGCAGTGTCACATGGTCCAGTTATGACCATGACAAGGAAAAAGGATCTGTTTATGTGATGGGTAAACAGTTTGCCTTTTGCTTTCAGCTTTTGGTGACAATTTTTTTCACAACTGGTAAAAAGGATGCAAATGAGCTTGTAAGATTGATTTACACATAAATTATTTTTCTATAGAGGTGACTTGGCCTCGTTTTTGTAAAAAACCAAAGACTGGGAGAAACATCTATTTTATTATGTATGAAAATCATTACACTGTGTTATTTTTTATCCATTTAGATCCATAAACTATCTGAATAAAGATCTACATTTGAATGTTTGTGACTTATTTCATGAAGCATAATGAGATTATTGAATGTACAGCTCGGCCTGTCTTTGTCATTGACATCTATATGCTTTGATTAATCCCTAACATAGCCTGAATAGACGGTTAATTTACAGATTTTGCCCCTTTACTTTGTACGATCCATTTCGTTACATTGCCAGTGATCAGAAAGGAGATCCATAATTTTTTATTTTCACTTTATTATGTACATGATACATATTAACGTTTCCCATCTGCAGGGGCAGGTCTACGGGTGACAAATCAACAGAAATGTTATTCAATGCCCGTCAGTGATTAAAACACCCCTTCTACTCAAGATGGTGTTTTCCACCTGAAGTGTGGAGGATGCTTCTCAAACATACCTAAAGCAATATGTATCATCATCATCATATCATATTGGTGAAGCAAAGAAATGCACATCCTTGAGTTCTAACAGGAAGTGAACTTCATGGATCAACTCCAGCCTTTTCCACACACATTTACAATATACAGTATACTGTACATACACACTGTTCTGTCAGCAAAGGCACAATGCCATTCCCATTGGTTTTTGCATCAGTTTTTTCTTTCACAATAATTGCCCTTGCTTTAAGCACTGCAAGAAGACAAACTGAAGTTCAAGTTTTCAGCGAGGAAAGTTTAAGATATCAAAATGTTTTCAGAAAAAAAAAAAACCCTTGAATATGATACTCTACTACACAATAAATACTGTAAGACATTTAGGTCACCGTCCTTAATTTTAAAATAAAAAAAAAAAAGAAAGCTGCATCTGAGGTTGTATAAGACATGTTCTGTGGAAATAAAATCATACTCTACATGCTTATCATTATGAGAAAATAAGTCTCTGTTAGGAATGCCAAATCAAATTATCACACATTCTGCTGCCTTATCTACATAATACTACATAATAAATACCTAGTTTGCATAGTGTGAACAAAGCAGTGGAAACACAATGGCGCTTTAAATAAATAAACATGGAAACTAAGTGGAGTAAAAAGTGGAGTGAGAAAAAAGAAGAAAATTAATCATTTCAACCCGACACTGATCCATATTAAAAGCTTGATCTCTGCATCCTTTACACAAGATTAACCCATGTAAAACGTGTAAAGTATCTTCAAGAAACACATATCTCTCAATATCTGTAAGTATCACTGTGGAAAGTAGATGGTTAAAAATGATGTATGAGGGAAAACGTGATTGATCTTTGAACCTTGAAGTTCTTACAAAAACCAGAGTGATACCTCAACAGTTGCCCAGGGTTTTGTTTACCAGCAAAAAAAAAATCATTTGGTTCCTTGAAACAGTGCTTTTGGTCAATTCAAAACACCCAGTATTTGGATAACAAGAAGCATCAGGGAGCCATTCAAACACAAGCTCATTTCCATGCATTCAATTTTCAATTAGTATCATGGGAATCTGCATCTGATGGTGCGTTAAGTTTCGGGATGAGATAAGTTTTGAATGGCTTCACTCCAGAGGCTCATACCACAGCTTCACATCACACAAACACGTCAAACATCTCAATGAAAACGCTTTTGAATGGATGGTTCACTCATATAAAAGGTTTATCCCCCTAACACTGAGAGCCCTGTTACTGTCAATGCACAAAAAGCATACGCAAAGCACATGAGACATGAATGAAGCTTGAATCAGTAAAAAGGCAGTGATGTCAATTTGGCTGAGAGTATTTTGGGTCAACATGCCCGTTGGTCTCCTACCATGGCTGACGGCTGCATGAGTAGAGGAGGTAAAAGTAATGCTGCAGGGATCATTGGAACAAAGCGCAGGAGATTTAAGTGACACACAAAAAGGCATTTAAAATCTGTTTACATTCAACACAAAGAAACTGAACGGTGCTTCTGGACAGAAAGCATTCCATTCGGCCAAGAAAGCAGTGCCAGCATTTGGAATTGATTGTGGTGGAAGCGATTCATCTTTCGTCTGAAATTTCACTTATAGCTTTTTACAGCTGCTTTTCAATAAGTCGTGCCCCACATTCTCCTGACCGCATTCTCCAGTGACAAAGGCAATGTGATTGTTTTCCTCAAACATAAAGGAATGCTGTGTTCACTGTGGAATTGTTATGCAATATTTCTACCAACCGACAGTGTAACCCGCGAAGTTCTTATCACAAAGTGATCATTAAACAAAAAACAGCCTGGCATGTTAAGGGAGAAATAAAAGCCGCTTTTAAAATTCTCTTAGTGTGATGGAGGCGATTAGTCATAAACACTAAAAGTAACATTGTCCAGATTTGAGGAGAAAAGAGCACCAGTAAATCATATGATAATGCCAGTTGAGTACATCAGAACAACTTCAGCCGACTTTCAGTGAGAAGCACCTCTATCACACCGCTCCTCAGACTCACTGCACATCTACAGTGGATGTAAGAAGTCTACACACCCTTCTTAAAATGGCAGGTTTTTGTGATGTAAAAAAGAAAATAAAGAAACAAATATAATTTTGTAAATTTTTCCACCTTTAAAAGGACCATTGTGTAGGATTTAAGGGGATCTGTTGAAATAGAACAATGTTTTCTTTAGTTTATAATCACCTGAAACTAAGAATCATGTTTTCATTAGCTTAGAATGAGCCCTTCCTATCTACAAACGGAGCAGGTCCTCTTCCACATAGCCTGCCATGTTGCACCACTATGTTTCTACAGTAGCCCAAAATGGACAAAACCTAACACTGGCTCTAGAGAGAACACTTTTGTGTTTTCATGTTACCTGAAGACCACTGTAGCTTCACCAACACGCTTCGAAAGGAAGGGGTGAGGGGAGGGGTATTAAGTTGGTTGTACCTTCCAACCTCACCACTAGATGTCACTAAATCCTACTCACTGGTCCTTTAATGTGACCTACAAACTATAAAATTCAAGTGAGAAACAAGCAAACCATGTAGGAAAAAAAAACTTGAAATATCCTAGTTGCATTAGTGTACACACCCTTAAATTATACTTTGTTAATGCACCTTTTTGATTTTATCTACGTCTATCTCTTAACTTGGCAATATCTTCCTTTCAAGAATGTTCATCAAATTGCGAGGTCAATTGCGAGGCGTCTCCTGTGGACAGGTCACCCTACAGATTTTCGACTGGATTCAGCTCTGGGCTCTGGCTGGGCCATTCCTAAAACTTAAATCTTCTTTTGGTGAAGCCATTCCCTTAAAAAGGATGTATACTTTGGGTCGTTGTTGTGCTAAAATTCTTCTTCATCTCCAACTTTCTACCAGATGCCTGAAGGTTTTGCACCAAAATCAACTGGTTTCTGGAGCTGTTCATAATTCTCTCCTCCTTAACTAAAGCCCCAGTTCTGGCTGAAGAGCAGCCCCAAAGCATGATGCTGCCACCACCATGCTTCTCTGTGGGTATGGTGTTCTTTTGACGATGTGCAGTGTTGTTTTTGCCACCAAAAAAACCTTTTGGAATTATGGTTAAAAGTTAAACCATGGCCACATCAGACCATAACACATTTTTATGTGGTTTTGGGAGACTTGATGTATTATTTTTGCAAAATTTACCCAGGCCTGGATGTTTTTTTTTTCCTCGTGAGAAAGGGCTTCCGTCTTGCTACTCAACCCCAAAGTCCAGACATATGAAGAATACGGGAGATTCCTGGAACTCCTTTAATGCTGCCACCGGCTTCTTGGCAGCCTCCCTGACCAGTTTTCTCCTTGTCTTTTTAATCAATTTTAGAGGGATGTCCTGTTCTTGGTAATATCCCTGTTGTGCCATATTTTCTGCACTTGGTCCATGGTGTATCTAACGCCAATACCTTTCAACAATGAGATCCCATTCATGCTTTGGAAGCATGGATCTCAAGAGGGTGTGCACGTTTATGCAAACAAGTTTTTTTTTGTTTTTTTTTTCTGAACAGTTTCAGTTTATTATTCACTTGAATTTTATAGATTAAAAGTAACAATAAAAGGTGAAAAAGTTCTGAAATGATTTATCTTGGTTTCATTTTTTCACATCACAGAAACCAGCCATTTTAACAGCAGTGTGCTGTACTGTAGTTAATTGCTGATTATCTGTGAGGAGGCCAGGCTGAGTCAGGAGGATTTTGGAGGCCAAAGAGGGGAAGGCGCTGCTGGAAGAGCTGGTGATCGGCGTTGACAGTGTCAGTCAATTTTTTAAAAATTTCTACAAGTCTCTTTGAAGGAAAATGATAAAGGGGAAAGAGAGGAGGAATTTGAAGAGTCCTAATGTTCATAAACTAGCCGAGCGTCATAGATTCATTCGTAGATGTTCAGGGCGCTTGGAGTTCATGGGGTACACCTGCTTTTTGTAGGGCCCTTTTGTAGGGTGCTTGATGGGAAGCGGTGCAGAGGCCTCGTTGGTGCCGCTGCTGCTTGTGTCCATTTGCTCCACTGTTGACACATCCATAGGTTGCTCTCCAGAGCCGCCAGGAGACAGCAGGGACGGGCCGCCTGTCAGCGTGGGCCCCCGGGGCCAACAGTCCCCTCCTGCAAACTTTAACGGACTGTTGAAGAGGGAGAAG